TCTCAGCGTGGAGGCGATTTTAGGGGAAATGGCTTCTTTAAAGGGGAAAGTTTTTGCCTCCTTTTTCACCCCCCTCGCAGCCCATGGACCCGGTTTATTTCCAACTTCAAGAAACTGTACAAAAAAGCCTGTTTGAAAGGTGCTTTGTAATGACCTCAAAAACCCAACGCCCTAAGAGTTTTGGAGGATATTTAATATCCTAATTGTGTAAACCTTATAGGTAAGTTGGGAGGAAGTGACTAAAGGGGACCTTGAACTCTGTTGGAAGAAACTTGGCCAAAAATGTGTAACAAAAGGGATTTTTAAAGGGTTTTTGGGTAACCCTGAGAATCCGTGCCAGTTGAGGAATATTGGGGATTGGGAAAGTCCTTTGGGGGTTTGGGGGTTTAGTGGGGGGATGTGGAAGATTGGGGAGGAGGACAATGAAGAACAAACATGATGAGCGGATGATCAATTCAAGGCAAGAGGCCAACCTGAGGAAAGGTTCAGAGGGGGGAGAGAGAAATTAAAGAAGTTCCCAATACAAAGATAAAGAAATCTGTGCTAAGTGGCTTGAAGGAAACCTTTCATGGATAAAAATCACCCCCCTCACACAGCTATTGCAAGCCGTGCTGGTGATTTTTACATGACAATGTTGTAAAACACTTTGGGCAAGTCAAAAGGAACAGAGGTACAGGCCCCACTAGGACAATATTTTGTGCGAAAAAAAGTCCGTACTGAAGCTGGCCCTTGGCATTAAAAAAAGAAGGGAGAAACCCCCCAAAAAAGGACTTACTCTAAAGTCCTAAGGGAAGGGGATTCCCTTCTAAACACTAACACACTCTCTCCCCCCCCCCCCCCTCCATAAATCATCACCGATTTTCAATAAAGTAAGTTCATTTAATTGTGCTGCCTTTTTAAATTTTGGTGTATTAAAATTTAAATTTCTGTTTTTTAAAAAAAAAATTTTTTTCTTACTTTTTGGGCGCTTGCACGGATTAATTTTTTTTCCCTTTTTTTCTTATGGGGAAAAAATTCATTCGCAAAAAACGTTTTTTTCGCATAACGGAGCCCTCTTGCACGGAAAATCGTTCCCGGGGGTCCATGACGTAAAGATACAAACATACCCCTCCAAATGCCAATACCCAAAAACCCCCCCTTTAAAAAGTGCAGGCTTTGTATTTCCCATTTCCAGGTCAAGTCCGACTTATGAAAAAAAACCCTTTTCCCCTAAATTCCCTTCACTAAATTTACCCTGCTACCCCCAAACGATCGTCGGGTCCCAAGTATTTTTTTCTCTCCATTCCCCCCTATCAAAACACCCTCGCACCTTGCGGAAAGTCCAACCCCTGTCCCAAAACCCCCTTTTCCCCCCCTCTTTCCAAAACCTTTTCGGGGACGACCCCTACCCCTCCTTCCTTCCCCAAAATTTTATGTTTCCATTATTTATTTGACCCTTTCTCTCAAAACCCAAAACCCCCTCAAAACCCCCTCTTCTGCCCTTGAAAGCTTTTATTAACTCCCACCTTCTCCTAATTTTCCACCCCGAATTTTCTGCATAATATTCACCACACATTGCCCCTTTGACAGGAATCTCCACTGCCCCAACCGTCCTCGCTGTGCATTTACCACCCAAGCTTCACATCCTATAAGGTGTTGGTACTTAACTTTCTTCTTCCCTTCTTTGCCCCCATAGATAATGTTTTTTTACTCCCCAAAATCCTCAATGACCACTCAAAACCCTTTTTTCCCTCATCTTCTATGATTTCCTCATCCTTCATAATCCCTCCGCCGACAAAATCAACTCCCAAGTTTGAAAAAAATTCACTTTTTCCATACTTTCCTCAATTTGTATCCAATTTTTCTTTATTAAATCATTTATACCCTCTCACTTATCTTTTTAAAGTTCACTTTCAACTTTCTACCTTTACAACCATTCTCAAATTTATCCATCCTTTGCCCAAATTTTTCTTTTTAATCCCCTAAACAATTTCATCCCGCAAAAAGTAACGGGGTTTAAAATTTCCCTTTGAATTTTGATTCCCCCTAATTTAATCCAACCCCTCCCGAAAAACCCAGCATTTACTTCTTTTACAAACCCCTTTTATAAATAATTAAACAACCTTTTGGGGCCTTCACTCCCGTCTGAGACCTAATTTTTACCGGGAAAAATTTCTCCTCCTTCTACATACCCCAACCCGAGCCTCTAAACCTCATAAAAGCTCTTTACACATTTTGTAAATTTTCCCCCCCTTTTTCCCTATACTTGCAACATCTGCCCAAGCTCCCCCCCTATCCCTCTTATTCTTTTCTAAATCCATAAATCTTAAAAAATTTCCCAACATTTACAAAAACTGTTTTTAATATATGCAACCCTTTCGTTACTTTTCCCCGGATACTCGTAAACTTATTCCTCTATAAATTTTTACAATTCTTTTGTCCCCTTCCCCCTTTCTAAAAAAGGGCTATACATGATCTCCCCCCCAATCCCCGGTCCTTCCCCCCTTTTCATACATTTATTAAAAAAGACAACCACTCCACACTATACCCCCCTGCTTTTAACATTTCTGTCTTTATCCCTCTTTTCCAGTGCTTTTACCCCCCTTTCATTTAAAATAATGCCTCTGTACCCCCAACCCTTACATTTGCTTTCTTCACTCCAAAAAAATGATTAACCCCCCGGGGGCCGTGCATGAAATTCCCCTCCCTTTCTTCCTCAACATTTAAAAGTTTTCCCCAAAATTTCCCCATCTACCATACCCCCCCTCTCCCCCCCCCTTTCTAACCCCCTACTCTGTTTTAAAAATGACAATCCAATTTTCCCTAGCTTTCTTAACTGTTTAACTCACTCCAAAATTTTTTTTTTTTTTCATTTAAAATTTTTTGACAGTGCCTTCCCACTCTTTCATCTGCTCTCCTTTTTGCACTCTCTCACCCTCTCTTCCCTTTTTTTTTTCTCTCCCAAACTCCTTTTTATACCACTTCTGTTTGTAAAAACCTTCGTAAGCTACTTTTTCTCTTTTATCACACCCTTTACTTCATCATTCCACCAATCACTCCTCTTTCCTCCTGCCCCCCCCCTCCCATAACCACAAAAATTTGCCCACTTCTAAATCAACACTTTGTGAAAAAATATTTTACCCACCCGCAGGCGTTTTATTAACTGTGAGGTCATTTGTTTTCTTTGAACATTGGCAAAAAAATTTAACTTTCTGCTACTTTGAGCCCCTTTTTAAGCCATCCATATTAAAACCAATCAAAAACTCTCTATTTTGAATATTCTTCCCTTCTATCAAAAGAGACCAAGAAACCGCAAATTCAAATAAAAAACAGAAGAAACCAAAAAGTCGCTGTTTTAAATCGAAAAATTAGGTCTCAGTTTTTTCTCTCATTATGCACTATGTGCTGAGGGTTTGTTTTATGGATCACACAGATGTGTTCTCTCATACAAGGCAAAATTTACCTCACAGCTTAACGGTGAGCTGAGCTTTGACGTGATCTACGGTTTGGACCCCCAAAGTAAAGCCGTAGATCTACGGAATGGATCCTCAAGGGATTAATAATCTTTCCTTGACTATAAGACCTACCCTAGCCAACAAAATGCCAAACTCCTTTTCCCAGGTTAGAGGTTACCTCGACATTCTTTTCAGTCAGTCCAGAATTCCTAGTATTCCTGTTGAGTATGATGGTTCATACTGGAGTTACCTGGAGAGTTCCGGGGGTCAACGCCCCCGCGGCCCGGTCTGTGACCAGGCCTCCTGGTGGATCAGAGCCTGATCAAGCAGGCTGTTACTGCTGGCTGCATGCAAACCAACGTACGAGCCACAGCCCGGCTGGTCAGGAACCGACTTTAGCACCGGTGTTGTCCAGTGCCAGCTTGAAGACTGCCAGGGGTCTGTTGGTAATCCCCCTTATGTATGCTGGGAGGCAGTTGAACAGTCTCGGGCCCCTGACACTTATTGTATGGTCTCTTAACGTGCTAGTGACACCCCTGCTTTTCATTGGGGGGATGTTGCATCGTCTGCCAAGTATTTTGCTTTTGTAGTGAGTGATTTTCATGTGCAAGTTCGGTACTAGTCCCTCTAGGATTTTCCAGGTGTATACTGTATCCAGAAATGGAATGGTGTGATGAAAAATATCAAAGTCATATAATAAACAGTGTGACAAGATACTCCCAGAAAACAAGTGTAGGTGACATGAGTGGTAGTGGGGAATGGGAGGAGTTATGCCCACTAATGCTCTGAACTCAACAGACCCAATTTGACCCAGAACAGAAAAATTTTATCCCATGTAATAAGCTAATTTGATACTATGGAAAGCTATGCCATGTAGTATCAATATTTTGTACATTAGCAGATTTTTTAATACTTTACATCAATTAATATCAAGGTTCAAAATAATATCAAACTTTTTGGTTGAGCTTTGGAACAATGTTGCAAGAAAATCCAAGAGCTTAAAGTCGAGTTGTAAGAGGGTTTATTTTTTTGACCTCTACATAAAAACTTGTCTGGTTCATGTTTTTATTTGTCTTCATGTGAATTCTAAGGAACTGATATATTATTACAACTAATATTTAAATGTCTTTATTATGCAACCTATACCTATCCTCTCCAAGTGGACCCAGATACTTGTCAGTGAAGAGTTGCTGCTCCTTCCTTATATACAGTATGTCCAAAGAAGATGGATTATTGCCATATTTATATCACTAATTAAACCTAGTACTGTACATTCATACAACTGCAACAATTTCTAAAAAAAAAAAAAACAGGATTTGTGAAAAGGTGTCACTGCACCTCAGTTTTGGCACTGTTAATGTTAAAGCTTAGTGTCTTGACATGGTCATCCCTGTGGATCAGACTGTGTCAAAGAAAAATCACCAAACTGATAACTTGCTTATATCATTGTTGTCCCTGGAAACCCTTGACCCCATTCTGTAAAATTTATAGCAGACACCCATGTGTCTACCTACTGTTTATGGTAAACTTTAGTACTTGTCTATAGTTTTTTAATGATTCACTTACCTGGATCTCCTACTAGCAGAAGATGAGACTCTCCCCTGATTCTGGTACAACTTGTATCTACTTTTTGCATGCCACCTGCAACCACCACAGCAAACTGCTAACTTAACCACATATAGTCCATACACCTAGTCAAAAAAATAAAATATAGTGATCAGTGCTTACCTTAACTGTAATAAATCTCTTACATTTGCTTAAGATCAGTTCAGTTTGGGAAGTGCAATGCCTGCACTCTAAAGGAGGTGTGAGGAAGTCTCAGCATGGAGAGTCATCCAAACTGTGATATCAACATGCTTTCATGCAACATACTTCAAATAACTAAATGACTGATGGGGAATGTGCTCTATTTTGGGGGTTACCCTACTTTTGTGGAAGATATTCGACGAGTTAAAAAAAATTCTCAAACTATCAATGAGAATATATCTTCTTTTCAACAAACCGACAGTATTCCACCAAGGCAGGGTGGCCAAAAAAAAAAAAAAAAAAAAGAAAGCTTCTCTTTTAACTTTAGTAATATATACAGGAGAAGGGTTACTAGCCCCTTGCTCCTGGCATTTTAGTCGCCTCTTACAGCACGCATGGCTTATGGAGGAAGAATTTTGTTCCACTTAAGATAAAGATAAAGATTTTATTTCTTTGCAATGTTTACAATGTGTCATTACAATTTTGATTAAAGTACAGCCTCTACTCACTTAGCGACGTACTTGTTTATCAATGCTTCAGACATACGATGGGCTCTCTGACCAGTATGCATGCCTAAATAATGTATATTAGTGCTGATTTTTTCTTTTCTGTTTATTACAATATACAGTACACTACTGTATAAACATTTAAAAATATACGAGAAATGTTATAAATGGTGCAAAGGTGATATTAAAAGAATATCAAAGATAGTTGACACAAACCCACTACCATTATAGTATGCGCCTCACTTAGTGATGAATTCGTTTACCGATGTGGTTTTAGGAATGGAACTCCGTCATTAAGTGAGGAGAGGCTGTACAAAGAAAGCCACTATCATGCTGGGGCATTTTGGGCAGACTAAACATAATGCTTACAGAATAATTAATACTAGTGATTTAGGGAGGAGTAAATTTTTATTATACATATATGGAGATAAGAGGAAATAAACAAGAACAAGAACTAGAAAGAAAATAGAAGAAAACCAAGAGGGGTGTGTGTATACATATGCCCGTACATGCATGTGTAGTGTGACCTAAGTGTAAGTAGAAGTAGCAAGACGGTGTACCTGAAATCCTGCATGGTTATGAGACAGAAAAAAAGACACCAGCAATCCTACTGTCATGTAAAACAATTACAGGCTCCCGTTTTACACTCACTTGGCAGGATGGTAGTACTTCCCTCAGCAGTTGCTGTCTACCAACTTACTACCCAGGAAAATACTATTCACAGTAAAATTTTTAGCTGCCTCATATCATTCCTTATCTTAACCTGCTGCAGTATGTTTATAAGTTGAAGAATATTCTTCACATGTTTATATCTCCAGATATGTAACAGAACACATGGACACAGTACAAGGACAAGTGTCTATATGACATTCCACACATACGTCTCAACCTGTTCAAAATCTCCAGGCAAATAAAAAGGCCCAAGGAGTATGGAAATCAATGTCTGAAAATGAAAAAGATTCCCATCTGCCGTATCTTTATTAATATTATGAAAAAGTCACTGAACCAATTTTAATTTATTTATTTTTTTTTTTTTAAAACACGTCGGCCGTCTCCCACGAGGCAGGGTGACCCAAAACAGAAAGAAAATCCCCAAAAAGAAATACTTTCATCATCATTCAACACTTTCACCACACTCCACAGTATCATGCTTTTGCAGAGGTGCTCAGAATACAACAGTTTAGAAGATATACGTATTAAAGATACACACATATCCCTCCAAACTGCCAATATCCCAAAAACCCCCCCTTTTAAAAGTGCAGGCATTGTACTTCCCATTTCAGGACTCAAGTCCCGACTATATGGAAAATAACCGGTTTCCCTGAATCCCTTCACAAAATATTACCCTGGCTCACACTCCAACAGATCGTAGGTCCCAAGTATCATTCGTCTCCATTCACTCCTATATAACACACTCATGCACGCTTGCTGGAAGTCCAAGCCCTCGCCCACAAAACCTCCTTTACCCCTCTTTCCAACCCTTTCGAGGACGACCCCTACCCCTCTTTCCTTCCCCTATAGATTTATATGCTTTCCATGTCATTCTACTTTGATCCATTCTCTCTAAATGACCAAAACCACCTCCCAAAAACCCCTTTCTGCCCTCTGACTAATGCTTTTATTAACTCCACACCTTTCCTAATTTCCCCACTCCGAATTTTCTGCATAATAAATTTTCACCACACATTGCCCTTAGACAGGACATCTCCACTGCCTCAACCGTCTCCTCGCTGCTGCATTTACCAAACCCCAAACTTCACATCCATATAAGAGTGTTGGTACTAAATATACTTTCATACATTCCCTTCTTTGCCTCCATAGATAACGTTTTTTGACTCCACATATCCTCAAGCACCACTCACCTTTTTTCCCTCATCAATTCTATGATTAACCTCATCCTTCATAAATCCATCCGCCGACACGTCAACTCCCAAGTACGTATCTGAAAAACATTCACTTCTTCCTTTCTTCTCCTCCCCAATTTGATATCTAATTTTTCTTTATCTAAATCATTTGGGATCCCCTCATCACCTTACTCTTTTCTACGTTCACTTTCAACTTTTTTACCTTTACACACATTCTCAAAACTCACCCACTAACCTTTGCAATTTTTCTTTAGAATCTCCCATAAGCACAGTATCATTAGCAAAAAGTAAAACTGTCTGTCAATTCCCATTTTGAATTTGATTCCCCATAATTTAATCCAACCCTCTCCCAAACACCTAGCATTTACTTCTTTTACAACCCAATCTATAAATATATAAACAAACTGTGGTGAACATTACACATCCTGTCTAAGACCTACTTTTACCGGGAAGTATTCTCCCTCTCTTCTAACAACCCTAACCTGGCCTCACTATCCTCATAAAAGCTCTTTACAGCATTTAGTAAACTTACCACCTATTCCATATACTTGCAACATCTGCCACATTGCTCCTCTATCCACTCTATCATATGCCTTTTCTAAAATCCATAAATGCAATAAAAACTTCCCTACCTTTATCTAAATACTGTTCACATATATGTTTCAATGTAAACACTTGATCTACACATCCCCTACCCATCTGAAGCCTCCTTGCTCATCCGCAATCCTACATTCTGTCTTACCTCTAATTCTTTCAATTATAATCTACCGTATACTTTTCCTGGTATACTCAGTAAACTTATTCCTCTATAATTTTTACAATCTCTTTTGTCCCCCTTCCCTTTACATAAAGGGACTTACATGCTCTCTCTGCCAATCCCTAGGTACCTTCCCCTCTTTCATACATTTATTAAACAAAAAGTACCAACCACTCCAACACTATATCCCCCCCTGCTTTTAACATTTGTCATGATCCCATCAGTCCAGCTGCTTTACCCCTTTCATTCTAATGTAATGCCTCACGTACCTCCACCACACTTACATTCTTCACTCCTTCACTCCTAAAAGATGGTATACCTCCCTGGCCAGTGCATGAAATTACCGCCTCCCTTTCTTCCTCAACATTTAAAAGTTCCTCAAAATATTCTCGCCATCTACCAATACCTCCCTCTCCCCATCTACTAACTCCCCTACTCTGTTTTTAACTGACAAATCCATACTTTCCCTAGGCCTTCTTAACTTGTTTAACTCACTCCAAAATTTTTTCTTATTTTCATTAAAATTTCTTGACAGTGCCTCTCCCACTCTTTCATCTGCTCTCCTTTTGCACTCTCTCACCCACTCTCTTCACCTTTCTTTTACTCTCCATACACTCTGCTCTTCTTATAACACTTCTGCTTTGTAAAAACCTCTCGTAGCTACCTTTTTCTCTTTTATCACACCCTTTACTTCATCATTCCACGAATCACTCCTCTTTCCTCCTGCCCCCACCCTCCTATAACCACAAACTTCTGCCCCACATTCTAATACTGCATTTTTAAAACTATTCCAACCCTCTTCAACCCCCCCACTACTCATCTTTGCACTAGCCCACCTTTCTGCCAATAGTCGCTTATATCTCACCCAAACTTCCTCCTCCCTTAGTTTATACACTTTCACCTCCCTCTTACTTGTTGTTGCCATTTTCCCTTTGTCCCATCTACCTCTTACTCTAACTGTAGCTACAACTAAATAATGATCCGATATATCAGTTGCCCCTCTATATACATGTACATCCTGGAGCCTACCCATCAACCTTTTATCCACCAATACATAATCTAACAAACTACTTTCATTACGTGCTACATCATACCCTTTTATATTTATTTATCCTCTTTTTCATAAAATATGTATTACTTATTACCAAATTTCTTTCTACACATAGCTCAATTAAAGGCTCCCCATTTACATTTACCCCTGGCACCTCAAATTTACCTACTACTCCCTCCATAACGTTTTTACCCACTTTAGCATTAAAATCCCCAACCACCATTACTCTCACACTTTTTTTTATTATAATAATAATTACTCACATACAAATACTCTTACATTGTGTACAAGTTGTACAAGTTAGTTCAGAATAAACAACAGCAACACACCATTTTTAGAGTGAATGAAGATAATAATAAAAATAACAATATAATAATATAATTATTATTATTATTATTATTAATATTATTATTATTATTATTATTATTATTATTATTAATAATACATGTAATAATTTATTTATTTATTTATTTATTTTTTATTTAGTAATTTAAGCATACCATACAGAGGTACAAAAAATACAGGTAAGAGCAGCATGCCAAAGCCCACTTATATGCATAGCATTACAGGCTGGCTTAAAATTAACTTAAGATTAACTAAGCAATGATGAAATCAGTGATAAAACATTATTGTAAACAGATAACAATAAAGCACAAATGAGTATTACAAAGACAGGTCATATGGTTGCTTGCATTGCTGTACATTCAGTCGAATGGAGTATTCTGTTAGGTAGTGTATTTAAAAAATAATAAAGTTAGATTGGGTC